TTGTTCCTAATAGCTTCTTGTTACTACTAGTAAGGCACTTGTTACTAGTAGCGTGGCACTTGTTTCTACAAGCTTGTTGTCCAACCATGGCGCAAGCATCGATCCTATACTAACTTGCTCACCCATGGTTAGCAACAGGGCCACCATCAAAGTAGCGTTCTCCATGGTAACACCACTCACACGATGGATTCCTCAAACAACTAGCTGTTCTTCCATCAGCTTGGCAATTCAGGGCTGCACTGGGCTTGCCATCAGGTTCCTGCAGAATGAGAACTGAGCTTCTTTACCCACACTGTTGTTCAGTAAAGGGGAAAGCTATTAGGAGCAAAGGGCATCGCTACTAGGAGCAAGGATGCTACTAGGGGCTCCTGGCCCAACTAGTAACAAGAAGCTAGATCAGAAAAACACAGCCCAAATTGAGAAGTCGCAGGATCTCTCTCCCCGCATCGAGGGCCAGACAGGATCTCTTCTCACTTGAGGCCACGTTTGAGCCAAAGAGTCTGGCAAATGTAGTACATGTTACTAGAAGCGATGCACTTGTTACTAGTAGCGAACCTTGTTACGGCGAATCCTTGCGAAGCGAAGCTTGGCTGCGCTTGCTATCGTTCTAAGTCGCCACCTGTTGGCTCCCTTTGCACTTTCCGGTTGCACCTGTGGGCTCCCTTTCCTTTGCACTTTTCCCATGCGATACCCAATTCGCAGCGAAAGTCCCCTGACCGAACCCCACCCTCACAATGCAGAAGATTGCCATGTCTCTGCTGCCAGGCCGTGTAAGAACAGCTGACCTGCGGCGTCTGGAGACATGGTGACATTCACCAGGCCCTCGCTGGCAGACTCATTCCGAACCTTCGCATGCATAGATGGCATAGAAATGGCGGCACCTGCCAGCTCAACGAACGGGATACAAAGAAACATAAGAACACCCCCCCAAAATGCTATAACATGCTATAACCAACACGATCCAAAACGAACGAATTGCTACTAGGTTGGAGGCCATCGCTACTAGGGGGGGGGGGCTATTTAAACAGAAAAAACAACTCTGGCCTGGTAGCTTGAAGGCACACTGGCTGAAGTTGTCCCGAGGCAACCAGGAAGTTGCTGCCCAAATCTGCCACAAGGGCCTGGTCCGAGACGAAAGCAGAAATGCAAGCTGGCATGCCTTTGGATGTTTTTGGAAGTCTTCTGCGTGGCAAGTCGTCTTGTCGTGCGCTTTTCGTGCCCTTTTCTCAGTGAGGCGCAAAATTTGTGCCGTCTCATTGGGTGAAAACACAAGTTCAACTTAATTCGATCCCTGAAGGAATCAACGCAAGCTAAAAAGTTGCCTTTTGACTGTAAAATGGTAGACCCTGATGGTAGACCCTGGTAGATTGAAAGAAAAACTCATGCAAGGAAGGTGAGGAGGTGATGCGTGGCGAAAGGCAACGACTCGAAGACCTGTGGCACAGGTCGACCTGTTGATCTCTTCGCTTCTCCCGGCTGCGATGGTCTCGCCACTTCACTTCGGTTCTCTCACTTCCCTCTCATCGCATGGGTGAAACACCTGGGCCAAGCGGCCAAGCAGCGGTGTTTCGTGTCGGGTGCGAAAAAAAAACCGTTCAACCGCCGCCTAGCCGCCCCCGGGCCTTGGTGGCTTTTATTGGTCTGGATCCTCTTCCAGCTCACCCTGAAAAGGGCAAGGCCGGCAAGGCCATGAAGAAACCAGCTTAAGGCTTTAGGAGGTTTGTTTGCAACGTGAGCATTCTCTAGGCTTGTTTGCAACTTCAACGAACTTCAATACTCCCCGAGAAAGGACTGTCACAGCATCCCATTGCATCCGTCGTTTTTCAGAAAGCAAAAGAGAAACTCAAAAGAAGCTCGCTTGCACAAATGGGCCTTGTCACTTTCTGCCTCATCCTGGATGGGATTTGGTTCTTCGTGCTCCTCCAGGTCGACCGGCTCATCCATGATGTCCTCAGGCCTGAGGGAAGAGCCTCCAACCTACTAGCATCTAAGACAATGTGCCCCACCCCCCCCCAAACCATCACAATTAGAATTTCAGACCCTGAAAAAGCTGCCAAGTCACGCCAATGGCATCAGTGGCATCGTGCCACGAAGCGGGAGCCCCGACTCCTCAAAACCGTCCAACAAGCAGTAACAAGCGCATCCCTACTAGTAGCTTCTTGTTACTAGTATGTTACTAGTAGCGATGCACTTGTTACTGGTGCTACTAGTCATTGCAAACCGGTGGAAGCAAACGGAAGCCTACTCCAACCCATCGTCCCCAACCTTCTCGGGTCCCACCAGGGAGCCGCATTTCATGCCGTAGCCCACCTGACCAATGCAAAAATAATAAAAGAAAGAATCAAAGAAAGAAACTATTAAATATGGTTTTTTTGGGGGGGGTAGACCGTAGAGGAAGGAGGTAGTAGCTAGGTAGCTAGTAGAAGAGGCAGCTAGTAGCTTACTGTAAGTAGCTACTAGTATGGACGCAGGATAGCTCACGTTTCTTCAAGGAAGCTCCCGCTGTTTGGTTCCTAGATATTTAGGGAAACTGTCTTCAATGTTCTCTTTTACACGACTCTTCAATGCTCTTCGTGTCTGCAACCATGGTGCGTAGAGATTTGCGAACCGCGTTCCTTTCACCGCAGTCACAGCACCTCGCCATGCGGTCGTTTCCAAGCAGCCAAGCAGCACGGCAACGGAACAAACGGCGAACGCACCGAAGGGGGTCACTGGAAGTCAGATGTGTCTGTGTCACTGGCTATTTCATCGCCTGGCCAAATCATGGATCGGAGAGCTGTCACACGCAGCGTCGCAGTGCCGTCTCCAGATGAATAGACCTCAGCACTGCGATCGATTTCACAGTGTACTGCACACCGAGTGCTTTGCACCCTGCCCCCAGTCTCACAAAATGATCTGTGGCGGTGATTTCCACGACCTTCCTTGGCCTCTTGTCCCCGGAAGTATTTTTGTGACTTGAGGCCAGAGGGGGTGAACAAAGCTAGCCGGGCGGGGAGGCGTGCGCATGCTAGGGTGTGGCTGCGCAGACAACCAAGCAACGGACCACAAGCAGCTGCAGCAGCTGCAAACCACCAAGCAGCTGCAGCAAACCACCAAGCATCCGCAGTCTACCACCAAGCAGCTGCAGCAAGCCACAAAGGAGCAGCAGCAGCAGCAGAAGCAGCAACAGGAGCAGCAGCAGCAGCAGCAGACCACCCAGCGCAGCACCAGCAGCAGCACCAGCAGCAGCAGCAGCAGACCACCCAGCAGCAGCAGACCACCCAGCAGCAGTGGCAGCAGACCACCCAGCAGCAGCAGCAGCAGCAGCAGACCACCCAGCAGCTGCAGCAGACCACCAACCAGCAGCAGCAAACCACCACCCAGCAGCAGCAAACCACCACCCAGCAGCAGCAGCAGCAGCAGCAACAACAGACCACCAAGCAGCAGCAGCAGCAGCAAACCAAGATTTTGAAGGCATGAGATACCTCCAAATCAGTTCAACACGAGTTCAAGATGTGGCCCTCGTTTTGCACCACTTCGCGCCGAATTCTATTCTACATGGCCACCTCAAAAAAGAAGCAGCAGCAGCAGCAGCAACAAACCACCAAGCAGCAGCAACCACCCAGCAGCTGCAGCAGAACACCAAGCAGCTGCAGCAGAACACCAAGCAGCTGCAGCAGACCACCCAGCAGCAGCAGCAGCAGCAGACCACCCAGCAGCAGGCGAGCACGTGGCCATAATGTTGGAAATGCTGGGCCAAAATTGGTGCGAATAAGGAGTCAAAATTAACACATTTTTGGGTGCAATGTGCAGGCGGCATTTCGTGCATCATAGCCTTACCCCTCGTACACCACTAGTTCCGATGTGGAGTCAGGTAGCGTCATTTGGCTCTTGTGCACTCGGACTATCGGCACTCAAAGGTTGACAAAACTGCTTTAGAGCGCACGTGGAGTCCAAGTGCTCCCACAGTGCACAGCCGGAGGGAATGAACGGGGGGGGAGGTGCAGCCAAGGCGGCAGCAAACCACCCACCAGCAGAAGGAGCAAATCCAGCAGCAGCAGCGGCGGCGGCGGTAGCAGCAGCAGACCACCCAGCAGGATCAGCAGCAACCCCAGCAGCAGCAGCAGCAAGCCGAGTAGCAGCCACGGCAGCGGCAGCAGCAGCAGCCCACCCCGCAGCAGCAGCAGGAGACGCAGCCAAGGCAGACCACCCAGCAGCAGCAGCAGGAGCAAAATCCAGCAGCAGCAGCAGCAGCAGCAAACGAGCACACAAGGCAGCAGCAGCTACAGCAGCAGCTGCCAATAATTGTTTTCCACCCGCTCAGCGCGCGCAGGGGGGAGTTGAACCTCCGGAGGGGGGGGTCCATAAGATTGATTTAATCAATTAACTTGCTAAAGCAAGAGCAACTTCAGCTAGCTAAGGCTAGCTTTCGTGATTTTGAGGCCTCGTCATCCAGTGCATCATTCAAGGCACCCAGGAACGTGCACCGAGTCTTGTACTTACTTCAGAGGTGTGGAGGTGGAGGCTTACACTGACACGTGCTGGTTGAGACAGAGTCCAGCACCTTGGTGCCCATAGGACCTACTACATCCATTTCGCCGAAGTAAATACGGAGAACTGAAATCCACAAAGAAGGTCTGCTCGTAAAACGTGAATTGAGATACAGTACTCCTGTCGTAGCTGCAGAGCAAGTGCCCAGCGCCACACCCTTGCGATACTTCGCTAGAGGACATGTAGGTCGACATGTAGGATATAGTAGGATACAAGTTGCAAAAAAGATCACTCCAAAAGAGGCCCACATATCCGCCAAAAACTGATTCATAAAGAGGAGTCAGTTGCTGACCACCGAACTTGCAGCATTTTAAATTTTGTCAGCAGCCACTAGGGCCCTAGTAACTACGGGCTCCTGGCCTTACTACTAGGAACAGGGACGCTACTAGGGGCTCCTGGCCAGTGCCTTGTTTGATCTTAAGTTTTAAACTAGCAAGCTCGGTGGAGACCCCAATGCCCCTCTTATTGTTCTTGGGTAGCCCTACCCAAGGGAGGTCTGGTTCATGTGAATTGTTTCATGTCGCTTCAAGAAGCATCTTACACAAAAGGCGGTCTTGTTTCCTTGGGCGGGGAGGATTTTTCTGTGCCCTCATGATTGCTCTTTGGCAACCTACATGTTTACAAGTCTGCATCACGTTGTTCGGGTTGGAGTAGGTTTAGCTTAAGACGGCAGGATGATTGAACCCGTAGGTTGGCAACCTACAGTTTTATAGGTCTGCATCACCAGCATCAAGCAGTAGGTGGGCCCAGGTTGGCGAACACTAGGCCATCCCAATCCCAAGGCATGATTGAACGTGGCAACCTACAGTTGTATGGGTGTCCTGTCTGGTAAATGACGAAAACTCTGTGAACTGTCTTCCGCAGGTCATTGAACTGCGGCTCTGCTTCCTGTGTCCGAGTAACACCCTCATCTCCGTAGTTTTTGATGCTCCACGCTGGACCAGTCTCAGCTTCTTCGGGCTTCAGCTCCTGATGTGCAGCTAGGTGATATACAAAAGGAAAACTTTCAAGGTAAAGCTGGACAGGAAAGAAAGAAAACTTCAGCTTGCCCTCTGGATCAGCTTGCTGCTCAACATCGGTTGGTTGAGCAGACGTTGCTGATTTGTTGCTCCTCTAAGTCTGCCTCAATGCCCTCAAGCATTGCCTTTTCAGGCTCGTTCTCAGCTAGAGCCTTGATCTCTTCGGCCTCACAAGCTGGATCGGGGTCGATGACCGAAAAAGAAACAGAACACCCACACCCCCGGAGCCCCTAGTCCTTGCTCCTAGTAGTACGGCCAGGAGTAGTATGGCCAGGAGCCCCTAGTAGCGTCCTTGCTCCCAGTAGTATGGCCAGGAGCCCCTAGTAGCGTCCTTGCTCCTAGTAGCAAAGCAACAGCAGAATCGTTTTTTGTCTTGGCCCTTTTTCTTGAGAATGCTGTAATGAATTAGCATGTTGATCTCTGCACTTTGAACAGCCTGCTCCTCGGTGATTTTCCCCTCCAAAGCATCAACGTCAGGCCAAGAGCTTTTCCTTGCCACTGCATCGGGGAGTCCGCAGTTGTTTCATGACTTCTGACGCGATCAGGCATAGGTTTCTTCATGCAAAGAGTCA